TGCCTGACTTTAGAAACTGACAGAGTAATTATTGGGAATCAACATCTTCTGAATGTTCAAATCAATTTGTCAAGAACCAACAAACCGCCATTATCAGTGCTAATAATCCAAATTTGAAGGCTGAAGATGAAAATTTCTATGTAATTTGACATCATTCTTCTGTTCTAAAACAATGGCAAAATTATTCTTTCAGTAGACTTCAATGCCATAGTTTGAAAGATCATTATAATGTCTGGACTGTAATAATCAGTAAGGAAAGCATTGGCAAGGCAAATATCAATGGAACATTCCTCTTCTACAAATGAGTTTAATATAAATTGGTTTTAACAAACATTATTTTGCCAGTGAAACATACATAAAGTCACCTGGCATCCTGCACACTCCAAACACCAACATTTTATCAACTACATCATTATATGATTTCAGGACCAGGATGTACATCCCTAAATTTAAATAAAAAGAGGTTTTCTAGGCTTCATCAAACTAAATGTTCTTAAAAGTAAAGAATGATAAAAGTGCTTATAATATTACTATACTTGCTATATTTTTGACACTACCTTACTTTGCTGATATTGATGATGATATTTTATGCTCTTGTTCACCTAAATGACAATGCCCAAAAAATATTACTGAATGTAGAGGGTTACAACCCACCCATTGTTTTATGGATGTAAATGAATTTTAGATTATAAAGATATGTAGGATAGTTTGGGTGTTTGTTATAAAAAAATAGTAGCTCTTGGGAAGAAGCTACCCAAATGGAAATTCCTTCTTACCAATGGAACACAAATGGAATGCAGATGGTTTGCCCTGTGTACAGGGTTTGGCATATCTTAACTGTCCAGGTCTGAATTGCTGAAACTAAGGAATGTAGCTTGTTAGAACATTTTCATAGAAATAGTGATGGAGTAGCAACAAGCATGCAATGTTTATATCTGTGGAAAATAATGAAAAGAAAAATTAACACACACACACACATATATATATATATATATATATATATATATATATATATATATATCTATATATTATAGACATAAAATATTTAAAAATCTACCTCCCTGTTACCGCAATTAGGTATCATCAGGCTGTAAAATTGAATTTTCCATCCTAAGACACTCTTACATACATAAACTTGAGGCTGATAAAAGGGAGAAGGAAAAAGTAAAAGATGGAGGGGGGGCATTTTATACTAATGTCTCCTCTCACCAATAAAGTTTGTTGATTTATTTATTCTTAACAGTTTCTTATACCTTACTACACCTTTTAAAGTTTTGCCACTCAGTCTGAACAATTTATATTACTACTGTTTACCGAGTAGGTAAGCAAGTTTAAATATTAAATTATTATTATATATATAGGTTGTGGGGGGGTCATTAAAGATTTGTCCTAACTCACTTCTTCCCTTAAACCCACTTCAATTTGCAGTCCTCTACTAATAAATGTTTCTATATTTCAGATGTGAATGTGCAGTAAAGTGTGACTGATGGGTGTCAGTGGAGTAAGAGCTGTAATAATGTTGATGTTTTTGAAAGGCAATACATTACAAACAATTTTGGAAGAGATGACAGCAGTGTCAAGACTGGTGTCTACTCCACCCTATAGTGTTAGTCACTACTGATATTCACATTTCAAATGTGGTTGGATGTTAGTGGAAACAGTTACTATTCCTCTCAGTCAGCTATTGAGAGTAACTATCATCTTAGTAAAATGTTGTTAACCATTCAAAAACTAGCGGACAGGGTCAGTGAAAAAAGAAAAAAAAAAAGAAAAAAAAAAATTATTCATGATCTTCTGCATATGCAAAAGTGTCAGTGTGGTGGGTTTCTCATTTGCTCAACCCTTTTCAGAAGGAATCAATTGCTCTTGGCTATGTGTCAAGAAAACCAAACAAAGCTTTTTGCCAAACTAATTACGCAAGATGAATCATGTGTTAAAGCACAATCCAAATAATGGAAGCACTGTGATTCCTCACTATCCAAAAAGACAGGTGTCCAATCTTCTTCTGTCAAGGTGATACTTGTGGTCTTCTGGGGTAAAAATAGTGTGGAGATTAAGAATTTCCTGAATAAAGGTACAACAATAACCAGGATATATTATGCCTCATTGCTGTTGATATTACAGGAAGCCACCAAAACACTTAGATACACTATGTTCAGCAATGGCATCTAGACATTATAAAACAATTCACTAATAATGAATACACAACTCTCTGTTTAACAAATGGAAGCAAGATTTAGTGCTAGCAAGTGCTAGACAGTCTGATCTCATAAAAATACTGATTCAGCATTAAAGGAAACATCAAGATATGAATACAAAAACATTGGAACAGTGTTCAGTCTGGTCCTCAAACCAATTCTGTGCAACCAATGACACTATGCATTATTCTGCTGGAATAACCAATCATTGTTGTTGGGATACATGGTGTTCCTGAACGGGTGCAAAATTTTTCAAAAGCAGATCAATGTAAACATCACCAGTTCAATGATGTGCTTAGACAGACGAGTTAATCAACCTCTGCCATATCAACACATTTATGGAATTATCCCCAGCCTATATGGTGCCTTGTTGGCAACTGGAGTCCATAGCAACCTGAACCCTACCATAAGCCTGAAACAACTGGAGCCATGACTTACTGAACCACAACACACATTGCCAGTTCTGTATGGTCTAATTAATGACACCATGAGCCCAGGTGAAACTCCCATATCCAGTAGAAGCTAAAGAGAGCAGAACCAGCTGACCCATTGTATAAAACCTAAACTTTAAAATAAAGTTTTCTATTGGATGAAAGATTCAAAAATTAAATATTACATTAATTTTAATTTGTTAAATATTGAACTAATCTGTTTCAGTAAGCCAAACTTTGGTGAGAGAAAATAAAAAGTTCCAATAGTCATGTTTGATTCTAGAAAGTGAATGACAGGCTATGGATCAAGTATATTTAAAACTTACAGGCATTTTTTTTACAAATGCTTCAAAGCTGAGTAAAAAAAGAAATTGTAATTATTTTTAGAACAAGAAATCAAACTTGGTAGCAATATTGGTATTTTTAATCGAAAACATAATCCAAACTGTCAATTTTGTTTGTTTCTAGGATTAGGATATTTGAGAAAATTAATAAATTAATCAATGCAATAAAAAGACAATTTGTTTTGAAAAATGCAACGCGTTTGCCTTCTTTGAAGAAATAATAAATTTGAAAAAAGATTTTTTAAATCCTTTTGACTAATAAAAAATAATGACTATTAAGTGACAATATCAGGTTATTCTAAATTGGAAAAAGTCAAGTTCTATGAAACTATAGGTCAGATTCACCATATAAAAAGTAAATACATCTTAGTGGCATTATTGCCTTGCTTGGGGTGAAATGATTAAAAAGAACAAAAGAACAAGTCAGTCTATATAAATACAAAATTCTACCAGTTCCTTTCATGCTTCTTTTATATCTCATTTTGACTGGAGTGTTTTTCAAAATGGTATATTGCGGCACTTTAGTGTAATTGTTTTTTCTTTAATTGTTAACAAAATTTTAAAATGAATTATTTCTTTACTTGGCTTGGCTAACAAGACTTAAGTAATGTCATACTAAAAATTTATCTTTTAAAAAGTTTGGTAACCTCTGACCACTACAGACATATTTCTATAACATGATCAGCAAATAACTTGAGTTATATCACATAAATTTAGTGTAATTAATTGTTTTTTCTTTAATTCTTAACAAAATTTTAAAATGAATTATTTCTTTACTTGGCTTGCTAACAAAACTTAAGTAATGTCATACTAAAAATTTATCTTTTAAAAAGTTTGGTAACCTCTGACCACTACAGACATATTTCTATAACATGATCAGCAAATAACTTGAGTTATATCACATAAATTGGATAATAAAGACACACACATAAATTTTAACAATCACTCAGCTTAAGAGAAAAAGCCTTCCTTTTATTGTTTCAAAATTTTAACTGTAAAATGCTTTTATGAACAAATTTTGTAATCATTCTTCCACATTGTTATTTTCTGTAGAGATTATGGATTTTCAATTACATTTGTTTTTTCAACAAATCATCAAAGTATAAAACTGTTCAACTCCTTTTGATCATGTAGTCAGAATACAGGAGTATTTTTTCATTGACTTTAATATTTAATTTTGTTACATTTAATGAATATATTTCTATTTCTACTGTATTTCATAACAAGACACATTCAAATTGAGTAACATGTCCTAAAATTGTTTTATATTAACTCTTAAAATCCACTTATTTAGCCAGACTTTATATTTTCTAAAGTTTCCTATTTTGTCAATTTCTAATATAAGTATTTCCATGAAGTGATATCAATTTCTCAAACTACCAACATACAAAAACAGAAGTTCAATAAAATGAATAAAAATTCAAAGATAAAGAATTTAAACTTACATCTCCTTTTGATTTCTGTTTAGTTACACTTTTGCTTTTTTTTTTGAGGTGCCCTTTTGAGAGCCCTCTTTGTGACTTCCTTAGCTTCCTGTAAAAAAGCATAAAATATTTTATTTAAATGTAATATTTTAAATTCTAAAAAACCACGTTTTTTTCAGCATAAAGAATCGCTAATATCAATAAACAATGATTTCCCTTGTATATTTTTTATCCCCACTCAGTCCTGTCGCAAATTTTTTTTAATAAAATCTCCTCATTTTGCTATCCAGTAAACCAAATGCCATCCCCGTTAAAACAATTTTTCAATTTATATATATATATTCCACTAAACCAACGCTCTTTTTTATGAGGTATAGGAGGTGTATATAGTCTGCAATTTTTTTTATCGACATCGGCTATGTTATTTTATATATTTATCTATATATATATATATATATATATATATATATATATATATATATATATATATATATATATATACACGAGGTGTGTGTGTATATAGTATATACCCCAATACACACCATGCACATACTTTCGTGCATATTGTAATTATTTAAATTCCTTCTAGTTGAATTCACTTAGGTCTTATACTTTCAATTCATTCATTTTCGTCATTCTTTCTTCTTTCTTTCTTTCTTTTTTATTTCATTTTTTTTCTTTCATTTCTTCTTTTTCTCTTTTACCTTTCTTTCTTTCTTTCTCCTTCTTTCTTTTTTTTCTTTCTTTTCTTTCTTTTTCCTTTCATTTTTCTTTTTCTTTTCTTTGTTCTGTTTTTTTCGTTTCTTTTCTTGTTTCTTTCTTTCTTTCCTTCTCCTTCGGTTCTCTTTTTTATTCTTTTCTTCTTTCTTTCTTTCTTTTTTTTTTATTATTTTCTTTTTCTTTCATTATTTAACGGTCGGCATCTTTTTTTTGTTTCAGTGTTTCATTTTTTCTTTTCTTTTTATACTTTCATTCTTCATTCCTTCATTCGTTTCTCTGTCATTTCTTTTTTCTCTTTCTTTTTTTTTTCATTATTTTTGTTTTTTTCTGTTTCATTTTCTTTTCTCAATTTTCCATCTTTTTTTCTTTTCTTTTTCATTTTCTTTCTAAAAGTTTTCTTTCTCCTTCATTTCTTTTTAACTTCCCCATTTTTTCTTTCTAATTTCCTTTTCTCAGTTTTCCCCTCTTCTTTCTTTCTTTTCTTTCTCTTTAATCCAGTTCATATCTGTTTTTTGTCTTCATTTTTTCTTTCTTCTATTTTTCCTTCTTTTTTTTTCTTTTCTTTCTTTCTTTTTTTAAATTTTTCTTTCAGAACATTTTTCTTTTAGATCTTTTAGATTTAAAGGAGTTTCTCTTTCTCCTCAAAATCATTCTTTTTTCCTCCTCTGTTTTTACAGTTTTATCTTTCTTTTTCCTTCATTCTTTTTTTTAATATTTTTCTTTTTTTCTTTTGGTTCTCTCTTTTCTTTGAAATCTTTTCTTTTTGATTTCTTGTTTTCTTTTCTTTCTTTTTTCCAAAACGTCTTCATTTTCTTTCTCTTCTTTTTCTCTCTTTCCTATTTCGTTTGCTTTTTAATTCTTTGTTAGTTCTTTCTTTCTTATTAACTTTAATTTTTTCTTTTTTTTCTACAATTTCTCAATTTGACTTTTTTTCTTCTTATTTTTTTCTTTCTTTTCAGGAAGTTTTTTAGATTCTTTTCTTTTTTCAATCTCCTTCATTTTTTGTTTTTCTCTATTTAAACAATTTTTTTTTTGGTTCTTTCTTTCCCTTTTTCTTTTTTTTCTCCTTCTTTTTTCTTTTTTACATCTTATCACGTAATTCTTTCTTCTATGATTTCTATTTTTTAGGAATTTTTTTTGGTCTTTGTTTTCGTTTTCTTTTGTCAGTTTTCTTCATATCTATTTTCTTTATTTCTATTTTATTTTTTTTTTCAATAAATTTTTATCATTTCTATCTTGGTTTTCTTTCTTCTTTTGGTTATAGATCATATTAATCTAGCAATATATTCTTTTATATTTCTGTTCTGTCTATTTTCTATTTTTTCATTTTCTGTATAATTTTCTCCTTATATTTCTAAGTTTCATTAATTGGTAACTAAATTTTTTAAATGGTTCTCATTTACATTCTTTTATTATTTTTGAATGGTTAAAATCTTTCTATCTTTTAATTCCCTTCATTTCTATTTAAACGATTCTATCTATCTATGAATCATTCATATCTCTTTAAATTCCAGTGTCATAATGTCCTATCATTTCTATTTATCTATCTTTCTTAATATCTTTCTTCTTCATTTCCTTTTATGTCAAAAATTTATAGATATTCCAAGGAAAATCTATCTATCTTCATTCTATTCAGTTTTTTTCTATTTTTGTCATTCTTTTCTTCTTTTCTTTCTCCTTCACGTCTCATCTCATTTGGATTTGAGGATTATTCTTTCTCATGTCTATCTATTTCATTTCTTCTTGTCTATCTTTCTCTTTAAGAAAATGATCTTCTTTCTTTCTTTCTATCTAAAAATTTTGGTTCTTATTGCCGAGAAAAACTATGAGCTTTTCTTCATTTCTCTTGTAAAAATTCTTCAATTGAGTTTACATTTTTTATTGATATCTTTTAAATTCTTTTCTATCTTTTAATTTCTTTCTTCTTCTATTTCTCTTTTGTTTTCTTTCAGGATTTCTTCTCAGAATTTCTGGTTTTAGCTTCTTTTCCCTTAATTTCTCCTTCTGACCTTATATATTCTATCTTCTCCTATATATATTATATATATATATATAAATATAGTTTCTTTCTTTTTATATCTTTTCCTGGATCTATCTTTCTTTTCTAAATAACCTTCGTTTTACTTGTGGTCGGAATCTTCCTTTCTTTCAACTATCTTTCTTTATCATATTATCTGTGAATTCTTTTATCTCTTTAAAAGTCTCTATCTATCTAGAAAGAAAAATGGTTTTCAATTTTCATTTTATTATCTAGCAAATCTTCTATCTCTTTTATATTAATTCTTTTATACTAAATAAAATAATTACATATATTCTTCCCAATTCAGATCTTAACAATGTTTCTATTTATCTAATTATCCTCATTTTTTCATCCTAATATCTATCTATCCTTTATATATATATAGATATATTCTTTACGATTACAAAATAAAAATATATATATATATAGCTTTCTTTTATATAATTTGATTGATATATAGATAATTTTATTTATTTCATATACAATGCTCATATATATCTATCATAAATTTTATAGAATGTTTGGAATTTATCTATCAATTTCATTACAACTTTCAAGAATATTTGAGTTTCAAAAAAAACATCTATAAAATATATATCTAAATAAGATTCTATATATTCATTTATTTCTTTATAAAGTAAAAAAACGTTTATTAACGATAAAAAACTATCTAAAAACTTGATTTAACAATGTTTTTTTCAAGCACAGTTAATGTTTTATAGAAAATCATTTTAGAAACTGAATCTATAATGATACTATAAACTAAATGGAAAATAGTTTCTTAAAAAGACAAAAAGCATTTAGACTCGTTCTATTACAGCCTTGCTAAAAAGAACTGAACAATATAAATAATCCACATATATATAATATAAACAAAACTGTAATGGAATATATATGATCTATCTATCTCAATATAACTTATAGAAATTTATTTAAATATAAAAAATGCTAAATGCAGTTATTTTCCCATAATGGGAAATTGTCAGATCTTATATATATATATTTTATTTCTACACCATTTTCTCATTTTTCATTTCAATCTATATTTATATGTATATTCCTTAAATATCTTTAATTATTTTGGAATGCATAATCTTTTTCTTTTTTCTTTTTTCTTCTATTTTACACACAAACATCTATTTTTGGTTTTTTTCTTTTATATCTATATTTTATTTATATATCTTATAAATTCATTTTTCTTTATATTTTTCCTTCTATATCTTCAGGAGTTTCTTCTTATCTGGTTTCTATTTCGAATTCATTTATCTCTCCCGTTAATTTTTCCTTATCCTTCCTATGTTTCCTATAAAAGATTCCTTGGCTCCTTCTTCTTCCTTTCTCAGTTCTTCTTATCTATAAATATCCGCATCTGTACAATTTAATGTCTTTTATCTATCTATATATCTATCTTCTTTCTTTCTCATTCTTTCTTTTCTATCTATCCTTTATCTTTTTTTCTTGTTATTTCTATTTATTTTGGGATCTACACTGTCTAGTTTGTTTTCATTAAAGCCTTTTTTCAACTTTAATCTATACAATCTAAAAATTTATATATACCTATATATATATCTAATTATAAATCGTATATCGAAACTTCTTTGGGAAAATTAATTGTATTCTTCTTTGAGTTCTTCTTTTATCTTTTTCAGTTTCAATCTTTTAATGCTCATCATTCTTTCTTTTGGTATTCATTTTAATCTTTTTCTTAATCTATCTATATCTCTTTTTTCATATTTGAAAAGTTTTGTTTTATAAATATCTTGTGAACTGTCTCTATGATTTTCTTTTTTCTTTTACTTTCTTATCCATCTATCTTTTCTTTCTATTTTCTTTCAATGAATTCTCCAACTTTCTTTCTATCTATCTATCTTTGTTATCTATATTGGATAGTTTCTCTAGTGATTAATCTTTTCATTTCTCTATTAAGACTTCTGATCTAAATCTATCTATCATCTATCTATTTATCTCAATCTAATCTTTTCTGCAGGACATACGATCTCATATTCTATTATCTATTTTATTCATGTCTAGAATAACAAAAAAGTACTCTAAACCATTTCTTCATTTTATCTTTCAAATTTCTTCTGTTTTCTCTCAAAGATTTTCTAAATTTCTTTCATTCTACTATCTATTTTCAAATTTCCCCTTTTATCTATCTGTATCTATCTATTAAAAATTAAATTTTTATCTCGTTTTCCTATCCCTAATCTATCTATCCTATCTATCTATCTATCTATCTATCTATCTATCTATCTATCTATCTATCTATCTATCTATCTATCTATCTATCTATCTATCTATCTCTATCTATCTATCTATCTATCTATCTATCTATCTATCTATCTATCTATCTATCTATCTATCTATCTATCTTGTTAAATATCTATCTATCTATCTATCTATCTATCTATCTATCTATCTATATCTATCTATCTATCTATCTATCTATCTATCTATCTATCTATATCTATCTGTATCTATCTATCTATCTATCTATCTATCTATCTATCTATCTATATCTATATATCATCTATCTATCTATCTATCTATCTATTATTAAATATCTATCTATCTATCTATATCTATCATCTATCTATCTATATCTATCTATCTATCTATCTATTTATATATTAATCTATTTATACTATATATTTGATAAAGAATCTATAAATTTCATTTTATTTCTATCTGAATATTTTAATCTATTTTAACTATCTATTCTATTAATCTATCTATTTATATATTGGGAAAAATTCTTATATAAATAACTATCTCATATCGTCTGCATTTCTTCTTTAAATGGTTCATCTATAATATTCATTTTATATATATTTATTTGATTTATATCATATTTTATTTTCATTCTATCTATCTATTTCACACTATCTATCTTTAAATCTTTATTTTTTGTAACATTCACACTAATATTTCCACCTTGTATTCTTTATATATATTTATATTCCCATTATATATTATTCTTATTCATTTAACGATATAAATCAAATGAATAAACCTATTTTAAATATTCCTTTTCATTTAATATTTTAACATCTATCTTTTATCCTCTTTATCTTTTCTATTAGATAAATTTTTATCTATATTTATCTACATGAATATCATATTATATTTTTTAATTTTTTTAATAATAAATATATCTATATAATATATATATATATTTATATATTTTTATTCTTTTTCATATATCTATCTCTATACTCTTTTATATTAAATCTTTTTATTTTTTTATTTTATTCTTTCTAAATATATATCTATTATATATATATATATATATATATATATATATATATATATATTTTTTGACAATAAAAAAATATTTAATATAAAAATTCCTTTTTTCAAAAAATACTCATCTTCTAAAAATATTTTTTCTTCTCTTATATTTTCTTCTAATATATATATCTATCTATATATATATATAACTATTTCAAATCTCTAAAATTTATATTTTATATATTTTTTATCTATCTAATCTAAACTTTTAATAAAAAATTGTCTTCTTTTTTTTATTTCTTTTTAAAATCGTTTTCTTTCTTTGACAAAATACTAACTATTCTCTAATTTTTTATTTATTTTAAAAACTTTCCTTTTAAATATTTATAAAAATCATTTATATATATATTTTTTTATAATTCAATATTTTAATTAAAAATCTTTATCTAATTTATATAAGAAATTTATATATTGATAATTTTTTAATATTTTAAATGCATATATATATATATATATATATATATATATATTCCGGCTTATATAACTATATGATCTATGTGTTCTTTATTTGCAAACTCAATTTCTTTCATCTAAATGTTTTAAATTTTCTTTTTTTTTATTTTTTTCTTCTTTTCATAAATTTAAAAATTTTGATATTTAAAATTTTTTGAAATCTTGTTTTGATTGAATTTCTTCTCTAATATAATCCCAATTTATTTTTATCCTATAATCCATTAATCTCTATCTAAATACGAATTTCTATTATCTTTTCACAATTTCTTAAATTATGCTTTTCTGGATTAGTTTATAATTTGTAATTTTAATTATATATTCTTGGTTCTATATTTAGTTCTTGACAAGCTTTTTCTTTTCTTTGTCTGGTTTTTTTTATTTACTTTTTTTTTCACTCATCTGTTTCAAAAAAAATAAAAATTCACTTTCGTCTTAAAACTTTCAAACAAACCGGATTTAAATTGTGATATATTATCTTTCATATTTATTTATTTATATATTTATATATATATATTTGTTTTTAATCAATTTCTATTTAAAAATATAACTTTTCTTTTTGTTTTCTTCTTTCTTTAAATTGTTTTTCTTTGCAAAAATTTATTTCTTTTCTAAACAGCTTTCTTAAAATTTTTTTAAATTTTAAATTTCCTATCTATATAAATCTATAAATATATTATTATATGAAAAATAATATATAATCAAAATATCTTTTGTTTAAATAAAATTTCTTTGCATATTTTTTCTTTATATTTTTCTTATTATTTTAAAAAATTATTCAAAATACAAAAAGTAGTTTTTTTTTTAAAAATATTTCAAAATGTCATTTTTTTAATTTATAAAATTATAACGTTTATATTATATTTATATATATATTTATATATCTATATATCTATATATATCTTTATAAATATTTCAAAAATTTTATAAGATTGGACTTTATCAAAATTTGAATATCTGTCTAATATCAATATCCAATTTCAATTTTTTTAAAAATTCAAATTTTTTTTCATTTTAATTTCTATATATCTGAATCTCTCTTTATTTCAGTTCTCTAAAATTCTTTTTTTTAAATTTTTAAAAAAATTTATTAATTCTTAATCTTGTTTTTTTTTCTTATATTTTGATTTTTATATATATATATATATATATATATATATTTATATTTTTTATAACTTTGTAAAAATGTCCCTTTTTAAAAAAAAAATATTTCATTTTCTTAGGATTTTTTTAAAAAATTCCAATACTGACATTATTTCATAATTTGTTTGTTCCTTTCTAAATATTAAAATTCAAAATTTCATTAAATTTTTAATTTTAAATTTTAAATATTCAACATTACTCCTTATTTTGGATATAAACAATTTATAGAACACAATCAATAAAAAAAAAATACAATTTTATTTCAATTTTTTTTTTTTATATTTATAGGTTGGGATATTTTTCATTTAATTTTTTTTTTCCCGATAAATTTAGAATTTCTAGGTTATTTTTTTAAATTCTTTTCAAAGTTTTCTTTAAATCTATCAAATGAATATTTTAAAAAAAAAAAAAAAAAAAAAAAAAGTTAAAAAAAATTAATTCTTGGACAAATCTTTCATTTTGATTTATTTCCAAAATTTTAAAAAAAATAAAAAAAAAAATTGTTTTAATTTCCTTTGAAAATTTTTTGATCCATGGGTCATATATTAATTCAAAATAAACAAACAAATAAAAAAAATTTTTTCGATGTTTATAATCAATTCCTAATATATATAATATAAATATATTTTATTTAAATATATATAATATTTTAAAAAATAAAAATAAAATAATAAATAAATTTTTTTATTTTTTTCAATCTTTTTTTATTTTATTTCTTTTTTTTTTGTCATCCATATATTTAATTATTTTAAATATTTAAATGCTTTGAGTTGATTTGTTATTCTAATTAAAAAAAAAACAAATGTTTATATTGACTTGAAAAAAACATTTTCAAACAAGATCGACTATATTTTTTAAAAAAATCCAGATGGCGTCAAAAAAAATTTTGCAAAATCGATAAAAATGAACTCAATTTTTTTTTTTATAAATAATTTATTTAGACTGTTTTAAAAATTATAGCATACTTAAAAATCAATAAAAATGCAAAATATATGTATAAATTCATTTATATTCATATATTTTTTTTAATCGAAAAATTTTTCTTCTCGCTGTGGAAAATAATACCTTTAATTTAAGTTTTGTTTAATAAAGGATATAATACATATTTTTATTTAGGGATATTTGTAATTTTAAATTTTCTATAAAATAAATTTTTATATATTTTCTATATATAATTATTTTTTTTCATTTATTTTCTAATAACTTTTCCATAAAAATTTCTTTCTAAAAAAGAATATTTGAAAATCAAAAATTCTACAAATATATATATTTATATTCAACAACCCTATTTTCTATAATATTTTACCCAGGACGCGAATTTTTAAACATAATTTTAAAATTACCATCAATAAATGAACTATAAATTTTAATTTTTTAATAATAATAGTAATACATAACAATATATATAATTCAAAAAATAAAAAATAAAAAATACTAAAAATAAATAAAATCTCGAAAATTTTGGCATATCATTTTTGAATTTTTCCCTTTTTAATTATTTAACAAAGGATTGGTATATTTCTGTTTATATCCATTCTATAAAATTAAATATATTATATTTTGTATATTAAATATATAATAATAAAAAAAATTATCTAAAATATGGTTTTCTATCATGTAATTATTTCTAGGCTTTTATAATGGAATTTTTTTTATATCTGAAAAAAATGATGCCATTTTTAACCTTTTCCTCTTTTGTAAAAAAAAAATTTTATTAAATGATACACGCCAGAAAATGCGATTTAAAAAAATTTAATAATTTAAAATATCATATATATAATTTTAATAATAATATATATATAATATTTAATAATAATTTTATATAATAATGATAATATTATTATATAATAAAAATAATATATAATTTATAATAATATATTCCATTAAAATAATAACATTATATAATAATTTAATAATAATAATATATATCCATAATAATAATTAAAAATAATTTTATTTTTTCTTAGTTTCACGTAAAATATTTTTTAATGGAAAGTTTTCTTTTTTATAAATCATTCGTTTTATTTTTGTTATTGTTTATATTTTCAATTTGCAATCCCAACAATATCTGTTTATTCATTAAAACTTATTTATATATATATATATATATATATATATATATATATATATATATTTTATATATATTATATATTTTTTATATAATAAAAATTCCTTCAACAACAAAATTTCAAATTGTCTATTATTATAAAAAAATTCTCAATTAAATTTTAAAATTATATATATATATATATATTATATATATATATCCAAATTCATATATATATATAT